GGAGTTTTTCTTTTCGAGCCTCCACTTTTTCCCCGAAAAAACTTCCGTCAAGCGGGGGAAGGGTATATGGAGCGGGAAAACACCAAGAGAAGTATTTAGCGAGAGAAGTACAACTGAAACAATTGTCTCAAAAGCCAATACGATTCTCGCTACCTCAAGTGACCAAATACGACCCGAACGCCCCCGTCCCCCCCCCTGCTGGGAATTCCCAACGTACAACATGCCCTGCTTAGGACGGGAAGAAGGCAATAAGTGGGCGCTAATCCAATGAGATCGAGCGATTTGGTGAAAAGCACTCAGGGCTGGTTCGAAGCAGTCATTTTGAGCCAGATGGAAGGATCTGGCCTCAGCTTGCGGGGAAAGGAGCTCCGGGTTTGGTTTGGTTTGTTTGAGCTCCGCTCCGGGTTTCATCATAGAAATGTAGAACGCTTCCGCTTAATCCCCACCCCTCCCAATTGTATTCTTCAATGAGACTACCTCTTGGAAACAGATAAAAATCTCAACGAGCGCAGGGAGAGAGGAAGGTTGAGAGACACCCAATTATCAAGAAGGGTCGAGTCGCGCACGACCGCTCACCGAGAGTAGAGCGCATCGGGAAGGTGGAAATCGATAGTTGACCATATGTGACCCATGACGCTGTTCGGCGACGGGGGGGGGGGCATTTTATGCATTTTCCTATCATTGCTTCACTAGTTCCGGTTTACAAGTCTCACTCTGGCGAAACCTGTGAACTCTTGTGAAGCTGGAGCAAGGTCGTCAAGCCATCATGTTAAAACCTGTCAACTCGAGAAGAGGCTGTCTAGATAGGTCGACACGTCGATGGGAAGTAGCAAAAGTGAAAGATCCTCCCCCCCCCCTCCCTGCCGTCGCCGAACTGCGCCGTGACCCATCTCCTTGTCCAGCGAGCCGTAAGTTACGACCTTCTCACTGGATTCTCACACAGGTGGTATGACATGGGAAACTCGATTCTCCGAGGATGTATGTACGAAGTATTACATCGGAATCCCTTATCGTACTTCGGTAGCGCCAACGAGTGTAATGTCTTTGCAGGAGCAAAATCACCCTGGGTAAAATCTTCAACCTCTGCACATCCTGCCTTTGGGGAAAATTCGCAAAATGCTATTCCCCCTTCTGCTGCAATCCCCCTTTCCCATCCCCCTCCTAGTCGACCGTCTTCCTGGATTCCCCTACCAGTACTCCCAAAGTTTTTTTTGGAAACCCTTCACTGTCCTGGTTCCACTAGAAAAATTGTCGCGGGGCGTGGTAATGGAGGGTTGGAGAAGGAGGGGTGTATAGCGCAATTGAAACAGGAAAAATCGATGGGAAAGTCTACAGTCGGTAGTTTTCTCAAAAGGGCGAAGATAACCCCTCCACCCCCCCCCCTCCTTCTAGTGACCAAATACGACCCATCTCCAGGCACGTCCTGTCGTTAGGGAGATTTTCGCGAATGCGACCCCCTCAATGTCCCCCGCCTCTTCCCATCCCCACCTTCTCAACAACCAGCTTAATAGGTGTAGCGAATCTCCACCACTATTCTGGATTTTTTATTTCCAAATCCTCCACTCTTTACTTCTTCCATCACAGAATCTGGCGGAGAGGGGAAGCAGGGGACGTCTATAGTTCTAGATTTCGGTCGAGTCCGTGCGACCCCAATCCCTAAAAGGGGCTTGATACGACCCCCAATAGTTCCCTTCTAATCGAGCTCTCGAGTCGGTGGGAGGGGGATATATAGCACATGTGAAACGGGAAAAACCGTGTGTGAGATACGACCCCTTTCCCATCCTACCTACAACCTTCCTAGGTTTTCCCAACTTCCTACCAGTTTTTACGGAATTTCCTCAAAAAGGGGGGGGATTGGGATGATACGCACCCCCCCCCTCCGGCGCCTCTGTCCCTCCTCATCGAGATTCGTGCGTTTCGAGCCGGGGGGGGGGCAATGAGCAAGGACGACCCCCTCCTTTTACAACGTCCGTGAAGCGAGAAAAATCCAACTATCAAAATGAATTTTTCTCAGCCCAAATACGACTCCCCCCACTCCCGGGCGGTCAAATACGACCCCCCCCTCTGGGGATATCCCAACAACGCATGTTGCTCTGTTTGTCTGGGGGGGGGGGAGGCTTCATCGCGTTAGTGAAACGGGGGAAAAGCAAGAAAAGTCAGTAACTGAAAACATTGTTTTCAAAGGCACTTGCAGGTCGACCCCCTCCTCCAGGGTGGACTGAATAACGACCTCCCCCCCTTGGGATTCTCAATCCGTAGACAGTGCCCCTTTTTTATGCAAGGGCGGCATTCTATCAATCAGCGCGTATAACATCTGTGGACTGGTACTCCGGTGGTTCATCTACATCACGTCCTGAACCGTTTTGGTGCCGCTATAGCATGACCTGACATGTCGTACTACAACACGCCGTTGATTGCTCGGTTTATCTTTCGGGGGGGGGGACTGCCAGTTCGAGCACTGGGTGCGCTGTCTTTAGCAATGTTTAATTGCCGTTTTCAATATATGGCCTATAAACACTGCACGCTACGGGAGAAATCTGAGAGAATACAACCCTCACTATATTGTTCCTCTCGTGCGCACCCCCCCCCTCAGTGGATTCTCCAAAGTTGTGTGTAGCGTACGCGCGAAGACAGGGAAATAATTAAACTGTCAAAAAAAATTCTTTTTGGGCCAAATACGACCACATGCTTTCTCCAGTGAACAAGTGTACTACCCCTTCACTACCCCATGGGGACTCCCCCGTGACGACCGTGCGCGCTCGTAACATATCAGATGGAGCAGTGAGACAAGCCCGTCCCAATCACGAAAGCACACTGGAATCGAATTTTGGTTGTCTTCCAATTCTTGCGCAAACTGCCAGATAACCAGCTAAAATTATTCCCTTAATGGCTAACTTTCTTCTTTTCTCTGCGCCCTCTTGCCTGGATGGCGATTTATGGCCACTTTGAACTTTCACATTCCAACTTTTCACGCATAGTAGGTGCTCATCCACCCGATATCCCTTCCCCTCGAAAAAACTCATCTCCTGGCTCGCATCGTGTTTTTTGTACCTCACGATGCCTTGGCAGTGGCAGTCCCTTATTGCTCTGCGCTCTGGCCTATCGTGGCAGGACCCCCACCAAAAGTTTTAGTTGTCACGTAACCCCCCAGTTCCACGTATGCAGCCCAAAAATGTGACATACTCTACCCGGGGGCCGGTACTACTCAACTTGACTATCCCAGAAACTTGAAAAAATTTTGTTGAAACTTAGCCTGTTTGATGCCCTGAACTCGGATATGACATTACTATTCGGCTCTGGCGCCGCCTGGTGGCGCAACCACTTCTTTCACCGGCATTGGTGGGAACTTGCATACAGTGGTTATTCTGCACCCTGATCACGAACAAGACATTCATTTTCAGCTCTGGCGCTACTTGGCGACTTGGGCGCCAAATTTGTTGCCATACTTTTTCAGCGAAAGAAATGAAAACCTGCATAAATGGGAGTGGTTTGATGGCCTTGATCACGAAGAGACGATTTACTCTTTAGACACCAGCGAACATTCTGGGCGCGCTTGCGTAAGGTTGAGTCTGGGAGAAGGAGTGACTCCCCTCAGGCCAGGCTCAGCCTTAGCAGAGCACAGATGATTAGTGTGCCCCACATTGGCGCCGGCGTCAAGAAGCAATGTCATATTCTTGATTAGGATGCCAAGTACCCCCCCCCCCTATACAACTTTCCATCAATTTTAATGATCGAGGGCATTTTGGCGCCGGCGCGTGTGCCGCGAGCGCAGGCAGTTTCAAGCCAGTTGGATGTGATATTCATGTTCAGGAGGTTAACGTACCCTCTGGACAGGTTCATCGATGTTTCGGGTTCAAGGGGTCGAGTTACCTCTGGAGAGGAATTTTGAGCCAGATCTGCTTTCGTAGAAAAAAAGTCGGTGAAAAACCGACCTGATTTTGGAAGTTTGGGTAGTAATGGGTGAATCTTGCCGGGAAAGGTTATGCAATTCCCAATCGTTTTCTAGCGCGAACTGGTCCAGTATTCAGCCCAAAAAAGTGACACACTGTACCCGGGCTTCCCAAACACCATTCAGCCCAAAAACGTGACACACTGGACTCGGGACTTCCCAGACACCCCGATTTTTCCTAGGACTTCCCAGGCCCACAAATCTACCACTTCCCCTGTAATAACCAGTCCGAGCCTGTCAATGTCGTGATAAGACACGTCTGTACACGTTGAACTGGTACGTACGCAGACGGTCTCTCGTCGTTCTGCGTCTCCGCGTGCGACGTTGTCTGTCGCCCGCGACGCCGTCGCGTCGCGGTCGCGATGAATCGATCGCGGCCTCATCGACGCCACGTCTCATTCGTTTATCTTCGTTGTCGTGGTGTGGTCGCTCTTTTCATTCGGACTCACTGCTATGCGGTGATCTTTGTCCCAAAGTGTTTCGCTTAATAAGTAGTGTTTCAGGCATATTTAAACGTAATAATGTCCCGACGTGGTGGTGATCTTGACGCTAAAGTGTACATTGGTGGTCTACCACATGATGCCACATCACAAGAGGTGGGTGTTGTTTCACGCTGATGATTCATTTTCAGGGCAAGCTATTGGTCAACTAAAAGGTGGTCAAAGGATTTGGACGATATTTGGCCCGTGAGCATTGATCATGGGCTTTTTCCCGGAATAATAGCATAGAAATACGGGAGTGCGACAGAGAGATAGTGGGACTGCTTGTGAACAACCAGATCTACATGGAATTAAGGACTTTAGAATGCTGACTTTAGGGGAGGGGCCATGTGGCACGCTGCTCTTCTGCTCCCTCTTCGTTCGAAGTAACCCATAAAAGATTCACAAGAGTTCTAGGCCATCCATAAAACATTAGCGTCGTGTCTGGGGAATTGATCGGTTTCGAATAGAAAGATGAAGTGCATGTTCTCACTGTAAACATTGTGAAGAAGAAAGGTTTCCTGCTAGTCTTCGCCAGTCTCATTTGATAGGGTGTTATTAGAGTAACAAGGACACTTCGGTTATGCGGAGCATCCAGTTCATTTGAGAGAATCCCTAAAGGAATGGGTTCACTCGGCCTGAAGTTCCGTTCTCTGCTGAGCAGGCAAAAATCTTCATCCACTGGCTTACAAGTGCTCTTTTGCACGTTTCAAGCGTGAGTACCGCACCTTACTGGAGTACCACCCTATGACAGTGTTGAATAGATATTCTACTCTTCTACACCGCGATACGGTTACGCCGAGAGAACCGTCACCGGGGTCAATCATACCCGGCATACTGTTTCGGCAAGGAAGGAGCAGAAGAGCAGCTTGTCGCATTTATCATCACACGCCGTCGGGTTTTATGTTCCTGGAGAATTGCGCAGAAATTTGGGAAAAGCCATCAATGACCTTGGGTGGGGATTTAAAGGACTTTCTGTGGAAGCTTAGTTACCGTAATGGAAATAACGACTTTTGCCCTAGTGCGTTGAGGAGAAGGGAACTTTGGGTGGTTCTTCTCCGGGTTTCCGAAAACAAACCCGGAAACCAGCTTGTTCGTAGCACGTTACCCATTGTTGTATTATTCAATAGGGAACGTGATATGAACAAGTTGTCATGGTAACTGTCACGAATTGTCCTACACTGTTCTCTATAAAGAAAGCTGGGGCAATCTGGCTGGAAGGGAAATATGAAAGTCTTTTTGTGGAAAAAAATGAGATTGGAGGAGTGCTTTTTTGCTCTCCTTCGGAGCTTCTTCGCTTCCAGGTTTAGGCAGCAATCCTTATCTCCATTACGATGTCCTTGTTTTGCTCGAGGACTTTCAATTACCCCTTAGCCATCTGGCGCCGAAACGTCCTTGATGGAAATCTTGTAACCCCACGTCCGTCCGACAAAAGCATGAATGAGAAGAACCGAATTAGCAGCAGGATGCTGTCAAGCAGTTGTCATAATAACTGTTTTTTGAATATTCGTTGTAAAAATATTTAATTGTGCTGTGTGTGCAATGCAAAAGAAGTAATGGGGGGGGGAATATGAGCATTTTGTAGACACGAACAAATGAAATGAAATTTTTAGATAGAGGATACCTTCCATCGCTTTGGTCGTATTCGTAAAGTGTGGGTGGCCCGTCGCCCTCCTGGCTTTGCATTTGTTGAATTTGAGGACGCTAGAGACGCTGAGGATGCAGTGAAGTCACTGGATGGAGCGTGAGTATTACAATTTAGGTGCTTCATTCTACAAAACTGTAGGGATACTAAACGGTCTGTTTCAGCCGAATCTGTGGCGTACGCGCTCGTGTTGAACTATCTCATGGTAAACGTCGTAATGGTGCTGCAGGAGGTGGTGGCGGCGGCCGTGGTTATGGTGGTGGTTATGGTGGCGGCCGCGATGGTGGTTATGGTGGTCGCAGATCAAGGTGAGGTTGATTTTGATGTCTTTGAAGAGAGAAAAGGTAAAGAGAGAGTGGAAGTGTTTTAAGAGGTAGTAGAGTCGGTGGGAGAAAGGGTTAGGTAAATTTCCAAGTGATGACGCGAGTAAATGTTGGGCTATGCTGTATGGTGAAAACGGGGGGGGGGTGCGATACTATGCAGAAGAAACAAGTAAAGATGGCTCTGATGCGCTCAAGTATATTTTGTTGTGAGTAAAGTTACATGCGAATGAGGTGGGATTTAAATGTGAACTGAAACAAAGTGCTAATAAGGCCTGAAATTATGCATATAGTGATGTTGTGAGGGGGATTTCTGATGAGAGGTAAATGCTAGGGGTGACAGAACGCAGCGAGAAGTATTGAGCGCTCGTTCCCTAAAAGTCGGTGTTTGCGATTTCGCAGCGAGCGGAGCCAAAAAGGCAACGTCGTTGGCGCGCTTTTCCTTATCTTGCCTTGTATGGTAGCGAAAAGACGGAAAAGAGGGGAGCGCAGCAATGACTTTTCCCCGGTTTCGCCACGCGACGTGTAGTGATAAAGCAGTATTGATTGAATGCGCAGTCCACGATTATCGTATGGGCGGAGACGGAAAACTATTGCGCTTTCTCATTGGTGAGCTTTTCCTAGCATGGTGGGTGGGAGGGTGTAGCAACGAGGAAGGCGCAGTAGTTTTTGTCGTCCATGCTATCAGTGTAGGCTGTGGCTTGTAAGTTGGATAACAAGTTGATGTGCGTCAAAAAGGGGGGTAGATGGCTTTTATTACCAAACCAATACCAAAACTTAATAGTAACTTTGAATGTTTTAGCGTATCTGACCTACCGGTCTACCGCCATCTACCATCAGTCTTCCCTTCTCTCTCTTTCTTCGTAACATAATCATCGCAACATCACACCATCACCACACGCACCCTCATCCGCGTCCCCTGTCGTAACGTCGCTTTCTACTGTAACTGCTTCGCATCACATCCGAACACGAAATCGACTGACTCATAGCGAAGAGTACAGAAGTATACTGTCTACCTTGCATCAAACTCATCACTATGAACTTCAATCAAAAAATTCATCGGGACAGGTTTGTTTGGGTGCGAAAAATTACCTGAATATTGTAACTGCGTAGATTAACGTAACTGACGACCATTATTTTTATTCTGAGCCTAGATACCAAGAGGATTAGTATCGCTCTGGTTGTCCTCCCATAGCTGCATGTAACAAAGTGAATCTGCATTCAGGTCGCGTTCTCGTAGTCGTTCACCCCCACGCCGTGGAGGATCTCGATCGCGTTCTCCAGATGACAGAAGGAGCCTCAGCCGGTTGGTTGGGTTGAAAATGAATTGAAGGCACATTCCACGATTACCCAAAAAGTAGAATCTCTTCAGTGGGTAGGTCGCCAAAGGAGTACCACTTGGTGAGTGGCAAGGCGCTGTGGGCTTATCTCTTGCCTTCGTCTTCACCCAGTTACATGGGGAAGTGCCCGAGACCGACCGCCGCTTCGTAGCGAGCTAGGTTTGAGCGATAAGATAGGAAAATTAAGACAAGATTCCAAGAAAGGGAGTGGCAGGGGCAAAAGATTGAAAATGCTGAGTTTGATACGATGTTGACCCAGAAGAACTCATTCAAACACATTTTCGATGTACTCTTACCATGTTCTGCATCATCTAGGGCCCACTGCGCTCAGGGGGTGCAAAGGATCCAAGTCTACAATTTTGCTTCAGGGTAATAGTAGATTACAAAATTTTTGAGGGGAAGAGAGATCAAGGGATAGTGAACCACTTGGTCCCTGAATGGTGGGATGTGGGAGGTGGCTTACTCACCCCAAAGCCATCTTTCCCTGTGCAATTTAATGTGTTCTGTTCTGCAGAGAGCAGAATTGGGCGTCGTGAAATTGTGATATGTGCAACCGCATCATACAAGTGCACTACGCCGTACATCAAGGTTGCACGATTCCGTGCTTTAGCAGTTGCACGGTGCGATTGCACACGCTGCAATTCACGACGTCTAATCCAGCACTCTGCTACCCTGCTACTTCTCCATACTCTCCACTCCTGGACGCTGGTGAACGCTGGTGTTCGCTAGCACTACCTATACTTCCCTAGTCCTCGAGATGCATCTGGGAGTAAGGGTTTTCTTCTGAGGGTTCTAGCGCTTTCTTCGAGGGATAGATACTTCGAATCTCTGCTTTGTTCTCTTAGCGTGATGAACCTAACCTTAACTGTCGTGGAATGTGCCTTCAAACGTGGAGCGGTAATTTATAACTTCCATTTCGCATTCCAGAAGCCGCAGCCGCTCACCATAAGAGTTGTCATGTCAAGATGATCCACTGGAGCGATCTCCTATCTGATTTTTCTATTTTGTCTTATTTTCATGTACTATAAAATGGTTCTTGTTATACTTTGCATCGTCTTATGTTTAAGCGTTACGCTATACTCCAGTTAATAATAAACTGTAACGTGTAACACCTTCGTAACTACTGTATACCAAAGACAAGGCGAAATACCTGCAACTGCGCTGCGATGACCATCGAAAACGTTTTGAATATGATACTTGCTGGTTCTGAGCATTTCGGGAACATATTACGAACAGAAGGCGGGACCAGAAGAGCGAAACAATGATGTGGCGGAAGAACGCAACAGATGGAGAGCTACCGTTATCAGAAATGGTGGAACGACGTAGGATAGGCGGAGATTGTGAAGAAGAGGCGGAGACGGTGAAGCGTAGCAGAACACGGACGCTGTCACTAATCTGGTAACGCAGAACGGATCACTAATCAATCTGGAACGTCGAAAGTGGGATTTCCTCCGTGGTTGCGGACTACACCACTTGGTTGAGAAGGGATGAACAGTGGTTGTTCACGGAATTTGCCTCTAAAGACAATCGCGCGATTTCATGTTGGTTCAAGTATAGTCTTGTAGGCGCTGAATGACTCAGGTATGGACTGCAAAAAAAACGTGGGTAACACCCTGAGAAAGGACTTGGAAGGAGAGGATCCGCGGTGGCGCACCCTGTGGATCTCACTTATTTTACTCACCAGTTTGGCTGACGCGCACTACTGCGCGCATGGTCAAACCTATGGTACTGACCACTGACAGGATTTCTGTGCTGACCGCTAACGCTCCAACATTTCTTCATTCTAATGAACGTTTGCCAAAGTCTGGTGCTTATCACATTCACAAACCGCTAAGCCGTCCTATTCCCACCATTCGCTCGAAATAGGACGGCTTAGCGGTTGAAAGAAATTCGGTGGTAACAATATAGAAATTTTAGTGACAGCTCGTTATGTCTTGGCGCTTCCGTTGAGCAGCTTTAACTATCCGTCTGCTGGTGGCTCTTATCATTCCTTACTGACAAACAGATTTAGGCTTTCTCTTTTGGGCGAAAATCCAGATTTTGGGCGAAACCCCAGACTTTAGCGGTTGAATCAATTTATATCGCTAAGGAATAGGAACATCTTGGCTCAATAAGCCTTTGCCCATTGACTTGGGGGCTTCGTCACTGACCCACTGTTCCCATCCTGCCTCCTATCTTACTTCGTGGAACCAAGCCCTACCATCACTGCGACGTTATGAAGTTGATGAATCCCCTTTGTAAGGCCCTTTATAGTATC